AGTCCCAGCTAGTCGGGAGGCTGAAGCAGTGGAATTGCTTGAACCCAGGAGGCAGAGGTTGCAGTGAGCCAGATGGCGCCACTGCACTCCAGCCTGGAGACAGAGCAAGATTCTGTCCCAAAAAAAAAAAAAGAACCGAAGCATGTTGTATAGATATTTAAGGGGAGGTTATTGTTGTAGGTATGTTAAATATCTTAAAGTTATAGCATAAAAATGAAACTTGAAATTTCCATTACCTGGCTGGCTCACTCCTGTAACCTCAGAACATTGGGAGGCCAAGGCAGGGCAAATCACCTGAGGTCAGGAGTTCAACACCCGCCTGGCTAACACGGCAAAACTCCATCTCTACTGAAAATACGAAGCGCGGTGGTGGGCACCTGTAATCGCAGCTACTCAAGAGGCTAAGTTCTTTGAATTCAAGAAGTGAAGATTGCAGAAGCCAAAATGGCACCATTACACTCCAGCCTGGGTGACAGAGCAAGACTCCATCTCAAAAAAACAAAGAAAGAAAGAAACAAAAATGTCCATAACCTGCAAAAACTACTGTTTCTCCACTAGAACTCTTTGTTATTTATGTCAGAATTACTTCTGTGTATGTTGCATTTTCATCAACACATGTATAGTGTTTTTTCATGCTTTTTTCTACTAAATAATTGGGAAAAATGTTGTGTTATAACGAAAAGATACACTTATACCAGTTTCTGTATCTGTCTGTCTATTTATTTATTTGTGAGACAAAGTTTTGCTCCTGTCCCCCAGGCTGGAGTGCAATGGCGCAATCTCCGCTCACTGCACCCTCCATCTGCCAGGTTCAAGCAATTCTTTTGCCACAGGATCCCGAGTAGCTGGGATTACGGGTATGCACCACCACACCCAGCTAATTTTGTATTTTTAGTAGAAACAACGTTTCTCCTTGTTGGTCAAGCTGGTCTCGAACTCCCAAACTCAGGTGATCTGCCTGCCTTAGCCTCCCAAAGTGCTGAGATTTTGGGCGTGAATCACCTTTGGTGGGTGCACAGCAACATAATCAAGCTTATGTACAAGGCATTTGAGGTTGAGGCATGGAAAAATACTGAGGCACTGTGTGTATGTTGTTTGTGCATGAGACTGTAACTCCTTGACCCTGAAATCAGGACAAGGAGTAGACTGTGTGATAAGGAACGCTGAAAACAGTCTCCTGTGAATGTGGTCTGCGTGCTTTCACAAGGCCATATGTGCCTCACGATCTGCCTGCAAAGAGCTCCATGGTGGATGCCTTTTGTTTGTCTGAAGTGTAGTTTACACAAGCCCTTTCAATAAACACTTGGAGGACGGATTCTGGGGCGGCACTCTCTCAGAAGGGTTGCTCCCCACCCCACTCAGCTGGAATTATCTGAGTACTTCATTCTCTGCATTCACTGCAAGCTGTAAGCTGCATCACTGCACCCAGCCTATCTGTCCTTTTATCTACCTTTTCTGGGGAACTTTATATATATTTGTGGGTTGGAGTTACTCTTTAGTCTTCTTTCATTTCTTTCTTTTTCTTTTTTATTTTGAGATGGGGTCTCCATCTGTCGCCCAGGCTGGAGTGTAGTGATGCGATCTGGGCTCACTGCAACCTCTGTCTCCTGATTTTAAGGGATTCTCCTGCCTCAGCCTCCCAAGTAGCTGGGACCTCAGGCGCATGTCACCACACCCGGCTAATTTTTTGTATTTTTTTTAGTAAAGACACGGTTTCCCCGTGTTAGGCAGGATGGTCTCAATCTCCTGACCTCGTGATCCTTCTGCCTCAGCTTCCCAAACTGCTGGGATTACCAGCGTGAGCCACCATGCCCTGCTTGCCTTAAGGTTTTGAAAACTTGTTAGTGCTATTAGATGGCTTCAAGTATTGCAAGTTTCATAGTACAGACTGTTAACTTCGTTTGTTTTTTGTTTGTTTTTCTTTTCTGAAACGGAGTCTCGCTCTCTCACCCAGGCTGGAGTGCGGTGGCCAGATCTCAGCTCACTGCAAGCTCTGCCTCCCGGGTTTACTCCATTCTCCTGCCTCAGCCTCCCGGGTTTACTCCATTCTCCTGCCTCAGCCTCCCGGGTTTACTCCATTCTCCTGCCTCAGCCTCCCGAGTACCTGGGACTACAGGCGCCCGCACGCCACCTCACCCAGCAATTTTTTTTTTTTTTTTTTTTGTATTTTTTAGTAGAGACTGGGTTTCACCGTGTTAGCCAGGATGGTCTCGATCTCCTGACCTCGTGATCCGCCCATCTCAGCCTCCCAAAGTGCTGAGATTACAGGCTTGAGCCACCGCGCGGGGCCAACTTCCTTTGTTTAATAAGATTTGTAAGCCTTTGGTGAGGCTGATGATGAGATGCTCCTTTTCCTGTCTCAGTCATTTCACTGTCCTGTCAAAAATAGCTTAGACTGGCCGGCCCTGGTGTCTCACGCCTCTAACCCCAGCACTTTGGGAGGCCAAGGTGGGTGGATCTCTTGAGGTCAGGAGTTTGAGACCAGTCTGGCCAACGTGATGAAACCTTGAATCTACTAAATACAAAAAATTGGCCACGTGTGGTGGCTCACACCTGTAATCCCTGCACTTTGGGAGGCCAAGACGGACAAATCACCTGAATTCAGGAGTTCGAGACCAGCGTGGCCAACATAGTGACTCCCTGAAAACTGCACAAACTCGCGTGGGGATTTCAACATCCCGAAACACCCAGATTCCTGGTGTGGCTGGACTCGGGGCTGGGGTCCTGCGAAAGGTTTGAAGCAGAAGCACACAAAAAAACACTCATTTGAGTCAGCCCCGGGCGCTGCAAAACAACCGTGGGCGGGCCCTCGACCCTGTCTGGGCCGGTTCTGGACAGTGGGCGGGGACAGAACGGGAAGGGGAAAATGTCTCCTAGTGGGCGGGGCCAGAACAGGTGCTTAGGCGGGGCCAGAACAGGTGCTTGGGCGGGGCGAGAGGGTGGAAGCCGCTTTGGGGACGGGCCTGGAACGGGACTGGGGCAGGGCAAGAGGGAGGAGGCTGCCTGGGGGCTGGGCCGGACAGCGGGAAGGGGCGGGGCCAGAGGGGGCGGTCCGGGCTCTCTCCTCAGCTTGGCCCCAGGTGTCGCCTGCTGTCTTCCTCTTGCCCCCCAGGACTGGATCCTCCGGGTTCTGATTGGTGGATTGTTTCTGATGTGTCGTGATATTACCCCTAATACCATAGGATGCTTCCTGCCCGTTTTAAGTTAATATTTCATATGAAGTTAATATTTCAATGGAAGGTAAAACAACATATTGTAGTGGGCCACCGGTACCAAACACTGAATTGTTTTTCCTTTTAAGTTAAAAATGGTTTTAATGCAAAGCGCTTTTTTGGAGCAGGTAGAGTCGTCCTGCAGGCGGGGCGAGCTCCCCTCAGTCTGGGGCAGGGCGGGGGAAAAGGGCAGGTAAAGGGGTGAAGTGAGGCGCTGGTTGCAGTGGGGACTGACAATTAGAACGGCTTATTAAACTAATCAAAATCATGAGTTGAGTGGATAATGGAAACTGAAAGGTGACATGCAACACTCTATTACACACAGGAGGTGGAGGACAATTTCATATTTTGTGGAAATAAAGCTAGAACCCGGAGGGGTGGCTCACATCTATAATCTCTGCACTTTGAGAGGTCAATACGGGAGGATTGCTTGAGCCCAGGAGTTCGTGATCAGCCTGGGCAACATAACAGTGAGACCTCCACTCTACTAAAAATCAAAAACCTCAGCCAGGTGTGGTGGTGCACACCTGTGGTCCCAGCTGCTCGGGGCGCTGATGTGGGAGGATCACTTGAGCCACGGAATTGGAGGCTGCAGTCAGCCTTCTTCTCGCCACCACACTCCAGTCTGAATGACAGAGCTGGACTCTGTCTCAAACAACCAAGCAAATAAGTAAGAGGTATAAGTCCTCCTCTGAAAATAAGGGAAGACTTTTTTTTCCTTGCATCTCTTTTATTAGGACATTTATTTAGAAAATTCGTAAATGCATTTTCTCTCTCTTCCAAAGTGGTTTTTATTTTTATTTTTTTGGACGGAGTTTTGTTCTTATTTCCCAAGCTCTAGTGCAATGGCGTGATCTCAGCCCAGCACAACCTCCACCACAATCTCCAGGGTTCAAGCGATTCTCCTGCCTGAGACTACCAAGTAGTAGTCTCCGGAGTAGTGCTCCGGAGACTGAAGCAGGAGAGGGGTTCAGCGGGGAGGGGTTGCAGTGAGCCGAGATCTTGCCACTGAACTCCAGCCTGGGTGACAGCGAAATACTCTGTCTCAAAAAAGAAGAAAAGAAAAAAGTATATATAATGAAAGAAAGTAATAGATCTCTTCCACAAATGTGCTGGGACAACTAACTGGATATTCACTTGGAAAAAAACGTTGCACCCCTATGTCACACCATCAAAAATTTTATTTAAAAAAGTTAAAAAAAAAAAAAAAAAAGAGAGAGAGAGACTAGTAAGGGTAAGGGAGCCCAGCGGGAAGGGGTGTTACTTTGTCGCCCAGGCTGAACTGGACCCCCAGGTTCAGAGATCCCCGCGCCACCCGGAAGCAGATCGCCTCAGTGAAGGTCATACCGCAGGGCGTGAGTTTCCCTCTGTCTCTAGTTAAGTCGGCCCTTCGCAGGCCCCCGACTCTGCTATACTCGAGAGGTGGGGTCCCCAGAGACCTGGAAATTCCCACCTTCCTTCCTCCACACAGCCCATATTGAGACGTCCTTGTAGAGTCCGGGGGTCGCTTCCTTTTGAGTTTGTTTGTTTGAGACTCAGTCTCAGTCTGTCGCCCAGGCTGGAGTGCAGTGGCGCAATGTCGGCTCACTGCGACCTCTGCCGCCCGGGTTCAAGCGATTCTTCTGCCTCAGCCTCCCAAATACCGGAATTACAGGTGCCTGCCACTTTGCCCGGTTAATTTTTGTAGTTTTCAGTGTAGACAGGGTTTCGCCATCTTGGCCAGACAGGTCTTGAAGTCCTGACCTCCTTATCCGCCCGCCTTGGCCTCTCAAAGTGTTGGGATTACAGGCGTGAGCCACCGCGCCCAGCCTCCTTTAGGGTTTAACGTCAGTCTGAGGCTGGTCCAGTCCCCGCGCCTTCTATCGCGTAGTTTTCCTGCTCAAAACCGTTTCCTGACCCCTCCTCCTGCCCGCGCTTTTTAAAGTCCTCATCCTGGAGGTGGATTCCCGCCCTGGGCGCCTCCCAGCCTCTCCCTCGCTGGCCCCTGGAGCGCAGCCTCGCAACCCTAGTCCCCGGGAGGCCGTTCCACATAATTCCAGGGCTTTCGAATCACGCCTCAGCCTTCCTGGCGGTTCTCGCCTAAAAAGCCCGAAAAACACTGGCGCTGGGAAAAACGCTGAGAGACGCACAGGTCCCGCCCCGGCCCCGCCCCGGCCCCGCCCTCTGCCGGTTCTAAAGGGTGAGGTCTCTCCGCCTCGCGCCCAGCCTCTACCTCACCCAGGCCCCGCCCACCTCCTCGGGGGTCCCGCCCGGGTCTGGCTTCTGCCCTGCGCGCGCAGATTCGCGCAAACCCGGAAGCGGATCGCGTGGAGTAAAGGTCCTACAACCGCGCGTGAGTTTCGCTCTGCTTTTATTAAGTCTGCGTTTCCCAGGCCCCCGGCGCTCTTTTTTGTTTGTTTGTTTTTGGTTTTGGTTTTGGTTTTTGAGGCAGAGTCTAGCTCTGTCGCCCAGGCTGGAGTGCAGTGGCTCGATCTTGACTCACTGCAAGCTCCGCCTCCTGGATTCACGCCATTCTGCTGCCTCAGCCTCCCGAGTAGCTGGGACTACAGGCGCCTGCCAGCACGCCCGGCTAATTTTTTTCTATTTTTAGTAGAGACAGGGTTTCACCATGTTAGCCAGGATGGTCTCGATCTCCTGACCTCATGATCCGCCCGCCTCCGCCTCTCAAAGTGCTGGGATTACAGGCGTGAGCCACCGCGCCCGGCCTCCCCAGCGCTTCTTTACCTGGAATGTCGGGTCCCCACAAACCTGGAAATTCTCGCCCGTCTTCTTTCACCAACAGCAAATTGAGACGTCCCCGTGAGAGTCCGGAGGTCATTTCCTTTTGGGTTTAAAGTCGCCCTGAGGCTGGTCCTGTCCCTGGTCTTTCTGCTGTAGGACAATATATACACTTCCTATCGCGTAGTTTTCCTGCTCAAAACCGTTTTTTGACGACTCCCGCCCCGCACTTTTTAAAGTCCTCACCTGAGAGGTGGATTCCCGCCCTAGGCGTCTCCCAGCCTCACCCTCGCGGGACCCTGGAGCGCAGCCCCGCGACCCCAGTCCCGGGTTAGGCTGGGTTTTCTGCCTGGTGCTGGGATCCTGCGGACCCCACGCTTTTCCGAAGGCGTCGTTTTCCCCCACCTCCCTCCTACTCGGACTGGGCCCTGCTGCTCTCCAGGTCTCCCCTCTGCAGTCACCGCTTCCCCTGAGCCCGCGCTGGGGAGGTGCCCGGGGCCTGTCCTGTGACACGGGGTGTTCTTGTCTGCCCAGCTCCAGCCTCTGGAAAATGCGCTCCTTCCGGATGCAGGCGTCTTCCTCCAAACCCTCCTGTGATTGTGTGGGCCAAAGGGATCAGGAGACAGAGAGAGGGACTGAGAGAGCAGTAGAAAACCAGAGACAGAGAAAAGAAGAATGAGGAAGACTCATAACAGAGGGCAAAGTAGAGGATGGGTGAGGGATTTGCCAAGAGACAGCAAAAGTGATTAAACAAAAGATAAGAAAGCAGGAGGAGAAAAGCAACTGGAGAAATGTAGAGAAAAGCTAGACGTACAGAGAGATGAAGGACGGCAAGGTAGAGGGAGTGGCAGCAAAGAGGGAGGCTCATCAGAGTGAGGGAGAGAGGGAGGGATTTGGAGCCAGGACAGACAGAGCACAGTGGTGCTGGTGGCAAAGAGAACAGAGGGGGAAGGACAACAGGGAGGACACCTGGGGATCTGAGGTGCCAGAGAGTGAGGACATGGGGGTATAACATGGAAGAGAGAATTTAACAGGGAGAGCAGAGGAGGCGCAGAGATGGGAGAAGAGGTGGAAATCTATGGAGATTGAACACGATCTAAAGATTGGGGAGAAGGAGAAAAAAGAGGTCAAATGAGTTGGGAGGATGGAGCCTGGCTAATTTTTGTATTTTTAGTAGAGACAGGGTTTCACTGTGTTGGCCAGGCTGGTCTCGAGCTCCTGAACTCAGGTGATCCACCTGCCTCGACCTCCCAAAGTGCTGGAATTACAGGCGTGAGCCACCACATCCGGCCACCCATGTTTTCTTGATTGAAAAAATTTGCTTATGTCTTAGTTCTACAACTGACCTTCTTTCCCTGTTTTCAAGGTCAATAGCTGTGTGTTCGCACTTTTGCATTTTATGAATGTTAACGCTGATTTTCTAGTAAGAAATAATTGAATGTTGGGAATCAATGGCATCAGAACCTTTCAAAAGAAGTTTCTTTAGCCCAGGTGTGTGAAAGATGCTTCCCTAATTTTCAAGGATGGGGTGATAAAGACCAACCCTTCCCATTAGCCCTTCCAGGCCACCATGTAAGAATTCAGGCACACCTCACTCATCTCAGACCTTCTCAGGGTAACTCAGTGAAAATATCTCCAGCTCTGAGCCCCAGTGAGCCTCCCTGCAACTTGGAGATGACGGGCTTGACCAGAAGAGCTCAACCCGAGTGACCCTGACCCCTGAAATGATTGGCAAAATAGAGTGTGTGTCTGGGTGTGACTTTTCCTCTGGGAGAGGGGAGTGCCCGGTTGTAATTAGAATTTTCAATGGGATGCAGGACATCCACAGCTACATCTAAAGCAGGTCGTGTCAGTCACTGGCAGGGAACCCTCCACCAGCTTCCCGTGTTCCCCAGGACAAAATCCCAACTCCTCACTGTGGCTCCACAGCCCTGTGACCAGGGCCCCTGCCAGTGTCCAGCCTCCTCCTGGGAGCTTGCCCTCATCTCCTGAATCCCTCTGCCCCAGTCACATTTGCTTTTCTTTTTTCCCAGACATCAAAATCCTTCCTGTGTCGAGTTGTTGTCCCTGCTCTTACCCTATGTCCCCTGCCCTTTCTCCTCCTTCAGGTCTGGGCTCAGAGATGTCTCCCATGCCCTCCCACCCCCATCTGAAGTTCCTCTGCCTATCAGTCTCTGTCACATTACTCAGGTTTTATTATCTCTGCGTCAATCACATCAGAAACGCGCTTTTTTTTTTTTTCCAAACAGGTTCTCACTCTGTCCTCCAGACTGTGAGTGCTGTCTCGTGATCTTGGCTCACTGCAACCTCTGTCTCCTGGGTTCAAGTGATTCTTATGCCTCAACTTCCCAAGCAGCTGAGATTACAGGTGTGTGCGTGCCACCACACCCAGCTAATTTTTGTATTTGTATTTCCTTTTATTTTTGAGTCTTACTCTGTTGCCCAGGCTGGAGTGCAGTGGCACAATCTTGGCTCACTGCAACCTCCACTTCCCAGGTTCAAGCGATTCCCCTACCTCAGCCTCCCGAGTAGCTGGGATTACAGATGCCCACCAAGCCCAGCTACTTTTTGTATTTTTAATAAGAGACAGGGTTTCACTGTGTTGGCCAGGCTGGTCTCGAGCTCCTGAACTCAGGTGATCCACCTGCCTCGACCTCCCAAAGTGCTGGGATTACAGGCGTGAGCCACCACATCCGGCCACCCATGTTTTCTTGATTGAAAAAATTTGCTTATGTCTTAGTTCTACAACTGAACTTCTTTCCCTGTTTTCAATGTCAATAGTTGTGTGTTCGCACTTCTGCATTTTATGAATGTTACTCTGATTTTCTTGTAAGAAATAATTGAATGTTGGGAATCAATGGCATCAGAACCTTGCAAAATAAGTTTCTTTAGCCCAGGTGTGTGAAAAATGCTTCCCTAATTTTCAAGGATAGGGGTGATAAAGACCAACCCTTCCCATTAGCCCTTCCAGGCCCCTATGTAAGAATTTAGATACACCTTCTCACTCATCTCAGACCTTCTCAGGGTAACTCAGTGAAAATGTCTCCAGCTCTGAGCCCCAGTGAGCCTCCCTGCAACTTGGAGATGACGGACTAGACCAGAAAAGCTCAACCCGAGTGACCATGGACCCTGAAATGATTGGCAAAATAGAATGTGTGTCTGGGTGTGGCTTTTCCTCTGGGAGAGGGGAGTGCCCGGTTGTAATTAGAATTTTCAATGGGATGCAGTACATCCACAGCTACATCTAAAGCAGGTCATGTCAGTCCCTGGCAGGGAACCCTCCACCGGCTTCCCGTGTTCCCCAGGACGAAAGCCCAGCTCCTCACTGTGGCTCCACAGCCCTGTGTCCAGGGCCCCTGCCAGTGTCCAGCCTCCTCCTGGGAGCTTGTCCCTGTCTCCTGACTCCCTCTGCCCCAGTCACATTTGCTTTTCTCTTTTCCCAAACATCAAAACCCTTCCTGTCTCGAGTCGTTGTCCCTGCTCTTACCCTGTGTCCCCTGCCCTTTCTCCTCCTTCAGGTCTGGGCTCAGAGATGTCTCCCATGCCCTCCCACCCCCATCTGAAGTTCCTCTGCCCATCAGTCTCTGTCACATTACTCAGGTTTTATTATCTCTGCGTCAATCACATCAGAAACGCGCTTTTTTTTTTTTTTTTTTTCCAAACAGGTTCTCACTCTGTCCTCCAGACTGTGAGTGCTGTCTTGTGATCTTGACTCACTGCAACCTCTGTCTCCTGAGTTGAAGCAATTCTTATGCCTCAACTTCCCAAGCAGCTGAGATTACAGGTGTGTGCGTGCCACCACACCCAGCTAATTTTTGTATTTGTATTTCCTTTTATTTTTGAGTCTTACTCTGTTGCCCAGGCTGGAGTGCAGTGGCACAATCTTGGCTCACTGCAACCTCCACTTCCCAGGTTCAAGCGATTCCCCTACCTCAGCCTCTCGAGTAGCTGGGATTACAGATGCCCACCAAGCCCAGTTACTTTTTGTATTTTTACTGCAGATGGGGTTTCACC